AAAAAAAGAAAAAAGAAAAAAGAAAAAAAAATTTAAGTTTTATTTTTCATAATATTTTTTTATATTATTTTTTTTCCACATCATCACTTTTTATATTATTATATGACATGCTATCTGGTAACTGTTAAGTAACATGCCACGTCACACAATTTTTAACGGAAAGACCAAATTAGGGTAAAAATGGTAAACAGTAGGGATCAAATCAGAGATTTTTTTAGTTCAGGGACCAAATTGGAGGTCTGTACAATAGTTCAGGGACCAAAAATGGGTTTTAACCTAAAATAAAATAGTGAAACAATAAAAGATTTCTATTCTTCTCTTTCTTCTATGTCTTTGTTCATATAAAGTTACAAACCATATATATAAACAAAAAGAATGATAAAGACATTATCCTTGCATATGGTTAAGGCCATGAGTTTTTGTTGCATATGATGGATCTAACATTTTACTCCGCGAAAGAGTACGACTATTGCATCTACGTTTGTCCCACAACTACGCATTTGTACATGGGACGATCGTGGCTGCGATAGTAGGATTCCGGTTGGCAAAAGATGTCTTGGTCACGCACCACTTGCTTCACCAAGAATGGAGAGCCTAACACGACATGGTTCTTTTCCCTTTTAATTGAGAGCTTATAGCTCCGAGCACAAGATTGTGGCCAATTCTTAATTTGAACATGTGGTGGAGGTTAGGACCCAGAAAGGGAAGTTAACCCAAGAAAGGAAGGCCATGGGGAACCTGCACTTTGTTCTGCTTCTTGAGAAGCCATAGGAACAAATAAGCAGCTAGCTTGGCAACTGAAACAGCGAGTATCATCTGTGAGAGCTTGCCTTCCATGTTAATACTCAAGCACTGTTGAGTGGGAAAAGTTTAGAGAAGTACTTAGGCTTTCCAGATTGAATGCATTAAACAAAATTCATATATTCCTTGAGGAAACAAGTACCCGGAGTAGGAGATTCTGTACATATCATAAGATTGATCAGCCAATAAATATAAAAGGTTTCTAGGATGATGAATATAAACAAGATGGTCATCAAGCAATATATGTGTCAATAATTGATTCAATATATATCTTGTATCTATTTTCACTTTGTTTACAATGTCAAGGACTACATCTGCTTTCAAGGGGCAAACTGTCCAACCATGAATCATCGAGTAGAGGAGCTGAAGGTTCCAATTCAGTAGGCCATTCTGAACAAACATCTATTTCATCATAGATAATGGGTTTACATTTTCCATCCCTACTTTGGCAAATGGCTCGTAGCCAAAGATTGCAGTGCACAAAAACCAATTCATTGTATTTTTCTAGCTCTGCTTTGTTGCGTTTCTTTGAGTTAATGCTCTCGAAGGTGTTCCTGTTCCACCTGCACCAGTGAGAACTACAAGGTTGGCTCAATATTCGTAATGCAGCTCTCTGGAGTGTGGGTATCTCATAACCATAACTTGCCCACCAATCACCTACAAACAAATGATAGCAACTTAGATATAGACTACAGCCCTAGACAACATGCTCGTAAGTATAAACCCCAAGACAATCTCCTGAGACAAATACAATCTTAGGATGAGTCAACAGGCAACCTGCCTGCAACCCCCTCAGAATTCAATAGAGATTCCTAAAAGGAATCAGGCAACCACACTTAAAAAAAACATATCAACAATCCAAAGCAGACTAAATGAAACCAGTCAACAATTTACGCAAAGCCATCCTGCCCTTGTTAATTTAGTATTTCTTCTCTCTTTTTGGCTCGTTACTATTTAATCTATGAGAAGCTAAAACATCACCAAACAGACTAAAGGACAGCCAAACCACAGTGATTTACATATGAATACACTGACTATTGGATTGCATCCTCCTTTAAAATCTCAGTTTTCATAAAGCAAGGTCCTTTTTGACTTGTATGATACAGAACACAACATGAAAATAAGCTTCCACATACCTGGAGTGTTCAGCGTCCTTCCCATGATTGCAAAATCAGTCCCTAGAGCTCCTTGTGCATTTATGTACCTTGGATGTTCCTTTGTGATTTCTATTTTATCTTTATCTGTCGTAGCCAACTTCATCATGGCTTCTTGAAATCCATTCCTCATCCTCAGATCAATCTTAAAGTTTGGGTTATAAAAAATTGATGGATTAAGAAATGCTGCTGCAGCATGTAATGGCGAGTGAAGCTGCATACATCTATCAATAATATCCCACATTGGCTTATATTTTTCTTCAATACCCTTATAATAAGCCTTGATGGCTAGTTTTGCCTTTTCTATGCCCTCATACATATAACCCATAGCAGGCATGTCACCATCAACAATCCTAAGGATCTTAAGGAGTGGTTCAGAGATGCTAACAGCTTCTTGTGCTGACCTCCAAAATCTTTCTAGATACAACAATGACCTAACAGTTGTAGCATCAGGACGCCTGCTGTAACTGGATGATAACCATTCCGAATGAGAGAACATGTGCTTTAGATTGTCCTCCTGAATCACAACAGACCTCAGGGTGAGAAAATTGGTCACAAATCTTGTAATTCTTGGCCTTATCAATTCTCTTGCACCAGTGAACTTCCTCATCATACTTAAAGTCCATGCATGACTGTATATGTAGTGTGCAATAGAATTTGCCTCTTCCAGGACCACACCCAGCCACTCTTGTTTACTCATTTCCTCCAACATTTTATCAATACAATAAGATGCACAAGGAGACCAAAACAATGAGTTGTACTTGGCCATAAGAAGCCTTCCTGCATAAACATAACTAGCAGCACCATCTGTTATTACCTGAATAACACTCTCTAGACCAACTTCCAGGACAACTGATTCAAGCAACTCAAACAGATAAGTGCGGTCATCCTCATGACCTGACACATCAGCTGACTTCAAAAAGAATGTCCTCTTTGGACAAGTGACTGAGAAAACAACAAGGGATTTTGTCCTACCATCACACAAGATTGTGCAACCAGTTTCTTTCCACTCATCTCTATATTTCTTATAACAATCCAGTATATCACCCTTGACTTTTTCCAAGAGTGTGGATCTCAGCTTTTCATAACTTGGGGCTTTGTAACCCACTCCACACTTGACCACAGCATCCATCATTTCCTGATAATAAATAGATTTAGTAGCACTGAAAGGAATACAATTGTGGAAGAAAAATACAGCAATTTTTTTGTCAGCATCATCATGCCTTTTCCTTTCTGCGCTGTCAACTTCTTGCAGCTCTGTTGGTAAAGGACGTGGAAACAACAAAGATGGACAACTGCTGCCATGCTGCCCACTAGATCCATGGTTAGGAAGGAAACCACCACTACCAGAGGAGCTATTTTGTTGGCCATTTGATACTACCTTGTCCAGTTTTGGTTTCTTTGGAGTTTTCTGTTTCTTGGGAGTGCTTAATATACTCTGAATATGGTTGCGCACATCATCAGGGACCTCAGCACACGGCACTATATCTTTGTTTTTGATCTGAGCCAAATGAAATTTCATCCTGTAAACTCCCCCACTGAACTCCCGGTGACAATAATTACACCTGACCTTCTGTCTCGTAGCATCCACAAGGACACAGTGCTCCCAGCAGGCATCTCTTCCACGAACCATATCTTTAAAAGAAGAAATGGTGAGTTTTCTACATTACCCTTAGCTTATCAAAAAGGTACATCATTCATGATACCTTCAAATCAAGCGTGTAGTTGCAATTAGAAACCTTCAAATCCACTCATAAATGCAACCTTGCTTAACATTTTCTTAAAATGCAACTATAGGAATAGCATATAGAAATAGGCATGTCCCATAAGGCTTCGTTCAAGACAATACAAAATCAGCCAACCTTTATGAAGCACCATTCTCTGGTGGGTTATACTAATCTTGCATACTTTTAACATGATAACTTTATTCAGTTTCATTTATCATTAAAGGTTGATCCTTTTTCAAAAAACAAGAAGAAAGGATTTGCATGCTTACTAAAACACCCTTTGCTACTTTATAAATTAATGTCAAAACTGGTTAAAGGCATGAATCACTTCCAAAGTGGCTAACGTGCAGAATTATAAAACATGGGTAATGATGCATTTTTTCTCCCCAAATTTTATATCCTCTAAAACAATAGCATGCACAGATTATGATATTTCTTTCCACAAGAAATCATTTACATAAAAGCTTTAAAACCCAGCAATGAAAGGTAGAAGCAAAAAGCAAAGGAAGTGAACCAATAAAGCTGGAACAAAACCTAAACAGGGAAAAACAATCAGAGAGACAGATTACCTGGGATCTGGAGGAACTCAGGAGTAGGGAGTGGTCGGAAACGGAGAAATTCGGGATCGGCGATTCGGACGGAGGGGAGGGACCGAGGAAATGAAAAACAACGGCGATAAATTAGAGCTCCTCGCCTTACGGATGGCGTGGAAATCGTCTACATTTCTCACGTGATCCTTGCGGGTGAAAATCTGGATGAAAATCCGTGGCCAGCCCTCCACCTTATTGATTATGAAAGTATCAACCCCTCAACTTAAAATATGAAACTTTTAGCCATTCACCTTCTCAACCCAAATAAAAAAACCCAAAATAGATAGCAAAAAGTCATGTACTTGTTAAAACTCCGTTACCCATTGCCATATATTCTCCAATGAGAAAATTTCTTTCCATCATGGACTATCACCATAGACAATAGTAGCCCCTAACTAAACAGATTTAAAGTTAAAAGGAATTAAAAAAAGAAAACTTGAATTCTTTGTGATAATATTTTTTAGTGTTTTACCATTTGGTTTTTATCTCTTTTTACTGTTTTAAATATATATAAAATGTTGATTAAAATATATATTAAATATATAAAATATATTTTGTATATTTTTGAGAAATTAAAGGATAAAAAAACCTATAGCTGTAACTATAGACTATAGGCTAATATTATCAAACTAAGCTTTAAAAAGTGATTAGATGAGGAAGAGTCTTTGTTTGTTCTTTGCAACTTTAGACAATAATATCACTTTACTCTTCTCACCAACCAAGAGAATCTAAGTTGAATTCATCAAAAATATCTTTAAAAAGGTTAAGGGATCACAACAACAAAGATGAATTCTCTATCGTTGACTACAAGTTTGTCAAGTATTATTCTTAATTGACATTTTTTATTTGTCTTATGTTTTGGTCATCAAAATTAGTGAATATTAACAAATAAACAAATGATAAAAAAAGGATTAGTGTTAATTAAAAATGAATTGAGTACTTATTAATTTAAATTTGTGCTTAATATCATCATCAGTTAGTAGATTTGTTAGTAAAAATGCAATTAAAGAAGGCAAGTTATATTGGGTTGTTGTATATTATAGGGGATTCATTCATGTGAATTTTGTTTTTAGGGTATTGATTCAATCTTTCTCATGATGAGATTAAGAGTAAGCAAGAGTTTTCTCATTTTTATTGTCCATGGGGGCAATCCATGATGGAAGGAATTGCCCCATTGGCAATTACATGGCAATGGGTCACGAAGTTTTAATAAACACATGACACACATGACTGTTCACCACTCATTTTGGGCATTTTTATTTAGACCTAAAAGATGAGGGGCTGACATTTTTACAATCAGTTAGGTGGAGGGCTAGCCATGGATTTTCACCCATGCCGTCGTCTGATGACGTGTCCATTAGCTATTTTGCAATTGGTTGCCGATAATGCACACAATCCACTATTTAAAAAGCTGCTTTATATTTTAGGAAAAACGCACATCCAAGTCCTCAAACTTTTCACATTTTCGATGAAACCCTCAGGGAAGTACTTGAAAGAATAATTTTATTTATTTATTTTTAAAAGTCACTATGAAAAAAGGTCTTTATAATGAATTCTTAGAGGATTCAATGAATTATATTTTGATTTTGATGCCTAAAAGATTACATATCCCCTCCAGCTTAAATTTAGTAAAAATAATGTATAAAATCATTTACTAGTTAATTCCTGCATGTGTGAAAATCACCAGCACGATCACTCTGAAAAGGAGACAATTTATACGATCTAGAGTAGTATAAAATTTCATGTGGATTTAATTAATAAACACAAAACTTTGGAAGCAACTGATTGTATGAGATGCACAGAAAACATGACATGGTAGTTGGAACTGCTGACAACATACAGACACAGTCGATTCCTCTATTAATTTGGAAAGAAATGTAACTGGAGGTATTTTCTATTTTGTTCAAAGATTAAAATCTAGAACTGTAAATGATAGAAACCAAAAGTCGTATGCTGCAACAGTGAATCAACAAACCATTTAGAACTTTACCAAAATCATGGAAGACAGTTTAATGGCCTAAAGTTCATCCCAGAAATGGTAACAACAATTAGCTTTGTGTATTCGCTCCTCAGAGATCCAAGTTTCACTAGACATGGCAATTAGCTTGCAGTACTTGGAGGTATTTTGTTCAAAGATCCAAATCTAGAACTGTAAATGATTGAAACCATCTAAGTTGTACGCTGCAACAATGAATTAATAAAATCCATGTAGACCTTTAACAAAATCATGGAAAATAGTATAAGGGCACAAAGTTCAACCCAAAAATGGTAACAGCAATTAGCTTTGTTTATTTGCACCTCTGAAAGACCGAAATCCAAGTTTCACTTGACATAGCAGTTAGCTTGCAGCACTTGTATTGCTTGAAGATTTTCACCCACAGCACTCTACTTATCAGCTGATCCAACTAGCTGCCTAACCCTGCGAGCACAATCCGCAAAATGCATTGCGAGCTGAGCACATTTCATTAGGTCATTGCTGTTCTCCTTGTAGCATGACATCAAAGCATCATTCTCAGCCAAACAGGGCATAGGCTTTGGTTCTGGTATCTTAAATTCCTTCTCATGAAGATCCTTAGCCTTTTGAGTTACTTCCTGCACCATGCTCTCCTCTTGCTTCCGCAACTTTTCCACAACCATCTCGCTCTCTCGAACAATAGACTTAATTGCATCCAACTCTGAAGTTGTGGGGTAAACAGGTGGTGGTACTGGCAGAAATAAGGGGGGTTGAACTGGCCACGCCGTTCCTGTTGCCCCTTTCTCTTTTCCAGAATCATCAGATATTTGCTTCTGATCTATCTTAGGTTGGGATCGTTGTGATGCCTTGGTTTTAGTTCTTGTTCTTCTCTTCGACTTCTGACCATCATCAAGGAGTTGATTGATTAGACTTGGGGTTATCTCGATAGTAAATTCACCCATCTTACAATCAGGTCCTGAAAATATCCTTCGTTGAATTAGAGATATTTTACATCATTGGACCCAAAAAAAAATAGAGATACTACATGACAGGATCCTCTCATACAGCAATTTCAGCATCAAAGCATGAATCTGGGAAACATAAACCTATAAGAACACATAACATATGGGACTGAACAGATTTTCTCGAGCATTACACTGGCGATTTGTTCTTTCATATGTCAAAGGAATAACCAAATTCAAATAAAATCATTAAGAAAACATACATTCCACCGAATTTATTCACATTCGTACTACCGAGAAACAAAACAGAAACAGGAGATGTAAAAAAGCATCAAACAAACGGGAGAAGTCGATATGATGGAAATAAGATCAGAGACAATTCAATCAAAAAAATTGGACAAGAAATCCTTGAATCGGGAAAGCACGGAAACGGGTCCTCACCTCAAAAAGACCAAGAAGGATACGGCGCAACTCTGCCGAAAAATTTGCCGGAGATCGAGAGACGGCCTAGGGTTGGGAGGAAAGGGAAGCTCGTTTACAAACCCTATGCCTATGCTTTGGAGAAAAAGAATAACAGAAGTTACCAACTTTATCTTTATTTATTTAATAATGTTAATTTTGTTAATTTTTAAATAAATTTATTAATTTTTAATTTTTTTATAATTAAAAATATTAACTTTTATTTTTTATTTAAATATTAACTGAAACCAACTACACTTAAATAATTTAATATTATTTATTTTGAGTTCGAATAGTATAATATGTAAATAGAATGAAATAAAAAATAAAAAATAATTATTTTTTATTGTGTAACTAAAATAAAAAAAATATTAATTAAATAATATTATTAATATTATAAATGTATTTTTTAATTATTATATTAAAAATTAATATTTTTAAATAAAAATTTTAAAATAATATATTAATTTAAAAATTAATAAAAATAATATTTTTAAATAATAAAAAAACAAAATTCACATCGTTATTCCCACTTTTCTCCTATGTTGTGCCAGAAGTAGGCAGGTTCTCGTCTTGGCTGGGCCTCTCTGCCCTCTCCCACTCCCGGTGCTTTAAATTCGATCCCGGCCCCTTATTTATGGGCTCAAAGACTCACAAAAAGAAAAGCCCAATCCATAGCTTCATAGTTCAATCACCTTCAATCCCACCTAGATAATAAATAGAGACTTTATTTTGTAACTCGGACTTTTGATAAGTTTTTGTATGGTTTTATTACACAATATATTACTAAATTCCTAAAATCAGTTCTTTTTACTTTTATTTGTGTTAAATATCAAATTACTGATTTAATGTGGCATCTGTTGTACTTTTTAATTTACCAATAATCTGAAAGTGGTTATTGATTACTTGTAAAATCAGCATAAAAAAACACAAATTACACCAAATCATGAAAACTCAGCTGAAAATTGTAATTGGTAAACAAGTTAAGCGCTCCCCCCCACCCCCCCAAAAAAGGGCATAATTAACTAGTAGAAACTTTGTGGTGTTGATGGGGGGAGAATTAATGGGGTACCTTTTTCATTCTTGATTACAGAATGGGGAATATTGTCTCTTGGGAGTTCAAAGGAACACTTGAAAGCTGCAGCATCAAGTCATCAACTAAAAGTGTATTATTTTTTATTGAAGATGAGTCATCTGAAGTACTCTAAAAACCCACAAATATGCCAAAATGATTTAACATCCCACTTTGCAGAATTTCAGTCACACCTTTTCCTTTTTAGGTCAGCCATTAGCAGTATTATGGGATTAAGAATATCCTCCTTTTTCTTATTTTTTCCAGGTTTATCCCACGCTCTCTTTTTTCTTTTTCTTTTTTTTTTGTTGTTTTCTTAATTAATTCCTCCTATTCTTAATGCTTCTCTACCATTTTTCACATTTGATGATAGGGTAATTAAGAATACACCTTGCTGTATATACAAGAAATTAGAAGTAGTACTGTTGTCAGTATTAGAAGCAACTTTGACAGGAGATTTACAAATTAAAAGCATATTTTTCATTCCTTCTTTTTTAGGAATTAATGTAACATATGAGTTGAAAATCTTGAAGCTATGTTGCTTGATCAATAACTTGAACCAGAATATATCATCAGCTAACTTGTATTGCAAGAAAATTCACGATTACAAAACCTATAGATCATGATTATGTAATTAACCAGACAACAAATCAATTCTTGCTTTTAATACTTAACATTTCAATCCAATATTATAGATGTCAACTTTTTTAGTGCTTTTGAGGCTGAAAATTATTGAGTTAAGTAAGGAATATAACATCAATCTTTGAACCTTGAAAATTACCCTTTTTTCATTTTGAATTTGAAGTCTAATCAAAAGTCACCAATATGGTCAAAAACCATCAAATTAATTAACGATTGATTATATTCAGTTGTAATTCCAATTAATTAAAGATCTTCTCCAACAAGCTGATATGGTGATCGACATAGGTATTTGTTGTGCTTTGATTATTCAACACGGCAATTAATTGTAGCAATTAAGTATACATATCTATATTCCATATATAAGGTTCTAAAAAGGGTACTAAAGCACTTATCTGGCATTTGGTATGCATTTAGTGCACTCATTTTCTATATTAAAGCTAAATGGTACAATGTGGCTTGATCTTTCTCAGACAAGTTCATTAGGTTAAAGAATCTCGAAAATCTGGAAAATGAAAGATTAACCCCTGTTCTGTTGGACTGTCGTTAAATACTGAAACTTAACCAGCTAATGTACAATTGTACCAGAAATATTAATAATTCCAGATGATTATGTTGTGTGGCGGATAAGTCCTTCCTCAGTGATGGTTTTAGGTTAATTAAGTGAATAAAATAGTGTATGAATACTTTTTGGAGCTTATAATTAGCAGCCCTAACAACTAAAGACAATGGCCGTATCAAGACAGATAGAACACGATCAAGTTATTGCTTAAAAAAGTGCCTTTTAAATTAATGAGCTAGTGGCAGCCTGCTCAAGTACATATTAAAAAACATACTTTTCTGCTTAAACTATGGAAAAGCTGGCTAAGCAGCAGCAGCAGCATGCTGCAGTGGTGGGATGTTCTAGCCTGGCACCATCCACTTGTGCCGAGTGGTAAACTTGTTTTTGCTTAACATTATTAATTCGTTAATGCCATCCTACTGATATAAGTTAAATTGTTCAGTTCCTTTTGCAATTGCACGCTCTAGGTGAAAGTTTTGCTTTATTAAGAATGATTGATTCAGTTTAAAGTCAACCTGCAGTTTCTTAATGTTAGAGATTTGTACTATTATTGATCGCTTTCTTAATCTCTCATCTAACCGCTTAAGTTTGTTGGGTGTATTATACTTTTGACACGGTATTTCAACTTTTTTGTTGGGTGAATTGTATCTAACAACTAAAATTGTCTACATATCACTATCCTTAAGTCTCACCTCACTACTTAAAGTGAATTCTTAGTATCCCACGCAACAGAAATGGGATCAAGGAAGTGCTTGTACATATGGAATAATTCAAGATGGAATATAAGAATTTTGAAAGTTTGGAAGCAAGCATTAATAAATATTAAATAACTTCTTTCCTTTACTTTATTTCATTTCATGTACAACATACATAGAGCAGAAGAGACCAAGTTTTTTCCACCTTTATAAAACAAAAACCCACTAACAATTTTAAAATTATATCCACCGTGTTTCCCAATCTTTTGATATCTTCACTTTTCTTTCCCTTTTCCAGGGCAATTATACATTTGTCCCCATATCTTTTACAGGAAGAAATAAAAGATTACAACATTTGCAAGGAACCAAAGTAAAAACATTTAACAACATTTGTGTTGGTATCAGTACTTTTGAATTGGTTGGTGAGAAACCTCTAAAGAAACGAGGTTTAATTATCACCTTCAACCCTCCAACAACTTTATGAAATACGTGAGACAAACAATTCAACAGCACTGATCAAAACCTACAGTAAATAACATTTATCTGCACCTTTTGAAGCTGATAGTATGTTTCATATCTTTTCTCACTTGTAGGTAATGTGCTAGTTCTTGTCCCCCATGTCTAATGTATTCGTTGCGTTTAGTTCAATGTCGTTAAGACAATCGAATCCAAAGTCATGAATACCAAAATCCTGGCAATCCAATAGCCAGGAACAGCCATCATCCTCCCACGATGGCAAGGCTGTCAGCATGGTACCACAATTAGCACTTTCTACAGACGGTGGATTGCTGATGTTCCATGATGCATCTACCAGGGGAGCCTCATCCATCCACAAGCTATTCAATAAGGATTCATCATTGCAAATGCTATCTAACAAATTGGAATCAACACTGGAACAATTTTCAGTTGGTGTGGTCGATGAATTATCCTCTGAGTTGGCCGTGGCATCATTTTCTACAGCATGATCATTGTTTTCTTTGTTTTCTGTGGGCTGCAGAGAGGAACCTTCGGCGACCTTTTCTTCTTTGTTCAAGGGTTCATGAGTTACAGGATC